ACAAAAACAAACAAACAAACAAAAAAACTCCCTCCTTCAGTCTTCTCGAGCACGTAGGTTATACAAATTGCCTCCTATCAGACTACAACTTGAACGCTCTCTGGGGAGGTATGGGGCCTGTGTCTTGCCTGTGCGTGCACGTGCGTGTACATGCCCTGCAGCCTGCCGTGTGGTAGGTGCTCAGTAATGAACCATTTGGACGACCTACTCAACCAGCAGGGAAACAAGCAGCTATCACAATCCCAAGGAGCCCTGTGGAGTGGAGAATGGTGCCATGAGACTTTTACCATCGTCCCCCTTCTTGCCCATCGTTTTCACGCTACTAAACAGGAGGGGACTCAGGTGAGGAACATTCCAACACCTGCAATGAAACAACAAAACCTGACACACAGGAGGTGGCTAAGAAACTAGGTTTGAGCTAGTCGGAACCAAGATGGCGTCAGGGACAATGGCTGCCTGACCTCCAAGCTCATCACACCCTCACTGGACTGCATCAGCACGTTCCATGGCGCTCCCACCATCTGCACCATGACGGTTTAGAATACCCATGGCAATCACATAAGCAACCTTATATGGCAAGAAAAAGGGAGGGATCAGTTCCAGGAAAACTGCTGCCTTTTTCCTAGAAAAGTCATGAATAAACTTCCCCTTCACTGAGCCTCTCATTAAGCCAAGCGATACAAGCCAGATACCCACCAAAGTCTGGGGTGGCCCTGTCTGCGGGGTACCCTTCTGTCTTTCCTCTTGAGTAACAGGCTCCCTTTCCTCTTTTTTTTTTTTTTTTTTTTTTTGAGAGGTTTTTGTTATAGGGCACGTGCGCTCACCAGAGAGACAGAGAGATAGAAAGCAAGAAATCACCCCCCAGGGGGGATGGCCACGCCGCAATCCCTTCTCCTCCATTCTCCTCTCGGGATCTTGGGCACGCACGCACATGCGCCCGGCATGAGTTTAAGCCACTGAGTCCAGCACTCAAACAACAGTCAACTACTTGGGAGTCCAGAAACATGGCCATTACGCCAACTGCGGGTCCCTCCCTTTCCTCTTGAGGTTGCACTCGGGGCAGCAGCTGGCAGCTGCAGCTCGTCCCCGCTCATTCCCTGATCTTGTCCACCCGAGGAGGTCATGAAACTGTTTACCCACCTGGTATCCTGAGACCACCCTACCTAGGAAGTGATCTACTTTAACGGTAAACCTGCTTTCGCTTTTGATCAATGGCTCGCTCTTGAATTCTTTCCAGTGGCCCACAGGTACGGGACCCCAAAAGAGTCCTGGCCTGCTTCACTACTTATTTTATTCACTGTATTTCTGCTCTAAGCCAACTCATCTTCCGTGAAATAAAGGTATACATAAAATAATTCCATTCGGGGCTGTATTTGTACTTGGGGAAGCAAAGATGTGCTCCTGAGACAAACTTCTGGAAGGCCCAACAGAAGTTTCCTCCCCAGCTGGAAGACTCTGCCAGGTAAAGGCCCGGGGTCCTGGCCACGAGCTGGTGCCGCCGGTTGTCTTGTCTCATTCCTTGGGCCCTTCTGCTCTCTCTCTCTCTCTTCCCGTGGCATCCATCTATCCGTGGAAAACTTTTGAGCACTTACATCTGCCAGACAAAGAGGACAAATAGAGACCAAGCAGGCTCAGCACTGCCTCCAGGGAGCTGAGTTTTGCATGAAGCCCTGCAGAAGAAATCAGCCCCCACCCAGCTTAAAGCCAGTGCTGACGGAAAGGAACTCAACACGGCGGTGAGTGATGGTGAGTGATGGCGCACTGGCGCTCCCTCTCACCCCCCATTGCCTCCATCTGGCCCCGGCCCCAGGTCCCACGCCTGCCTGCCAAGCCCACTCCCAGGACAAGCATGACACCACTGAAGCTGGCCCCACACTCACCCCAGGAGCATCTTCCTGGCCCCTTTGAGCCAGAGACTCCCTGGCTCCAGGCTTCAGAAAGGAAATGGAAATGGAACACGGTCTAGCTGGGAACTGGGAGTGGACAGTGTCTCCTCAGAGGAAAAGGGGTGTCCAGGTCCGGGAGAGTTCCAGGAGGAGGAGGTGCAGGGGTGGGATGCTGGCGCTGAGGCAGTGCTGAAAGGCCGGGAAGTAAGGAGGGCAGGCTGAAGCTGGCCAGATATTTACTGCTGTCCATGGGCCCAGAGTTGCCTGTTTCTCCCAGTGAGAGCCTTTTTCTCTGCTTCGAGGAGAATAATTCTATTTCATGAAAGGATGCAGTTTCTACAGTCAGTTGCTAGAAGCTCCAGGGTGTGCATGAGTTTTCCTTCACCGGAGGCCTCTATTCAGTGGGCATGTTGGAAACGAGCTCATCTCCTCCAGTGCTGACTCATGGAAGAAGTGACCGGGGCCTCCGTCTTTCTGACAGCTAATGAGCACCTGGGCGCACTTGGCTTCTGCAAGAAGGTGCAAGCCCTCAGAATTAGGGGACTTGGTTTCCTTTCTGGTTATGCCATGCATTGGCTGTGTGACCCTGGGCAAGTCCCTTGCCTTCCTCGGGCCTTCATTTTCTCATCCACAAGTCCCCTGGTGTTACTGGTGCTGTGGGAACACTTTTTTTTTTTT